TGCTTCAGTTGTGTCTTCTAACTTGTGTGTCTGATATATCCGCTTTATATTGGGCTCGTTTTATAACTTAACGTTTTTTCACATAGACAATGTTTTTCTTATAGATATAAGACACAGAAGAAACATCGAAATAATATTTCATTATTACCTATACTAGCAGAAAATGTAATAAATATTGCTCTGTAAAATAAGTTACATTTTTTGTTTAAAAACAGTAAATGTAATAAACATCATAAGTCATAATTTTCTGATTCAACTGTCCTCTAATGGGACAGCAGTAAGTCTACGGACTTACAACTCTAAAATTTGTGGTTCGATTCTCCGCGGTGAACACAATAGTTAATCAAATGTGGCTTTGCTTTAGAACAAACAAGTACTGTTTTAGTCCCTCGGTGGGCCAGCAGTAAATTTACGTACTTACAACGCTAAAATCCAGGGTTCGATTTCCCGCGGTGAACACAACAGTTAATCAAATGTAGCTTTGCTTTAGAACAAACAAGTTCTGTTTTTTGTCCCTCGGTGGGCCAGCGGTAAATTTACGGATTTACAACGCTAAAATCCGGGGTTCAGTTCTCCACGATGGACACGGCAGATAGCCCAATGTGGCTTTGGTCTGAAATAAACAATCTAATTCACCTGTAGTTGGAGACTCGCAAAATAATATAAAAATTCAATTCATGAAAACTAAATAGAAAAATGTTAGATAACAGGAGTTGCCGAAACATGTTAGACTAAGAAAATCAAAATATGACGGCAAACAGGAGTTGCCGAAACATGTTAGACTAACAAAATCAAAATGTGACGGGAAACAGGAGTTGCCGAAACATGTTAGACTAACAAAATCAAAATGCGACGGGAAACAGGAGTTGCCGAAACATGTTAGACTAACAAAATCAAAATGTGACGGGAAACAGGAGTTGCCGAAACATGTTAGACTAATAAAATCAAAATATGACGGCAAACAGGAGTTGCCGAAACATGTTAGACTAATGAAATCAAAATATGACGGCAAACAGGAGTTGCCGAAACATGTTAGACTAATGAAATTGAATTCTTTTATTTCATGAGATATAACATTGCTGTATTTTTAATCTTATACAAGAAACACGGTTGATTAAAAGAGTCGTTTTGTTGGTAATCTTTGGCCCCAAGTAATTCTCCATTTTAAAGTTACACGTTACTTTGCTAAAGCTGCTACCCAGAAATGATCATCACATATTTTTTTTTGCATATTTTGTACAAATATCTACAGATATTATTATGTTTTTCTAGACTGACCAACTTAAAGATATGAGCGTGATAAAATTTTATTCAAAATATAATTAATGCTAGTTGGTTACGCTAACCCTGAGAGGTATTTATTTAAAGAGATGTACAACAAATGCTCGAAATGTTTATCTTTGTCCTTCCATTTAAGGCACTTTGGATACTAACAAGCGAATAAATATACTTTTTTATAGAATTTACGTTTACACAAGTTCTCAAGCATTTACAAATAAACATGCTTATGCTTTTGTTTTCTAATATCATCAAAGCCCCCAAGTGGCACAGCGGTAAATCTGGGGACTTATCATGCTAGAAACTGGGTGTTTGATACCCGTGGTGGGCACAGCAAAGATAGCCCATTGTGTAGCTTTGTGCTTAACTATAAACAAATATCATCAGATGTGTATCTTGTACGTCTTTTGAAAAAGATATGTTCTGTAGAGAATGATATATATATTATGGGTTTATATGTGTCTAACGTGTGTGTATATACGTATGTAATGTTTATTATGGGTTTATATACATCTAACGTGTGTGAGTATATACGTATATAATGTTTATTATGGGTTTATATATATCTAACGTGTGGGTGTATATACGTATATAATGTTTATTATGGGTTTATATATATCTAACCTGTGTGTGTATATACGTATATGCTGTTTATTATGGGTTTATATATATCTAACCTGTGTGTGTATATACGTATATAATGTTTATTATGGATTTATATATATCTAACGTGTGTGAGTATATACGTATATAATGTTTATTATGGGTTTATGTATATCTAACCTGTGTGTGTATATACGTATGTACTGTTTATTATGGGTTTATATATATCTAACGTGTGGGTGTATATACGTATATAATGTTTATTATGGGCTTATATATATCTAACGTGTATGTGTATATATGTATACAATGAAAAAACGGTGTTTAAAACTGTTAAGTGACATGCCTGTAACAAAAACTTTATATTTATAAAGTTTTTGTTATAGACGTGTGTTTTACCAATTTTGAATACTTTTTCATTATTTAGTCATTTTTTCTAAGCCTTGCGGTCTTTCCTACTGTGTATACATATATAGTTACTGACATCTGTGACAATACTTGTATTTTGATAAGGACACTGGAGTATGTGATGCAATATAAAGTAATTTGGTAATTTGCAATTTGTACCCGCTATAATTTATAATACTGAAAATACGACTAAACTAGACTGGCAACCAACTGATGAAGAAACGAAATAGAATCACTTGAACCGGGAGATCTAGTTTTCTCCTGTTGCATAAGGGAGATTTCGAGTGAAGAAACTCCACACAGCAATGTGTGTGTTAGATCACACTATTCAAGTGAATTTTATTTTCTGTTTGAACTTTAGTGTGATAGGCCAGAGAGAGAGAGAGAAAGAAAAAAAAAGACAAAAACCGACGACTACACAAATAAACAGACGTCATAGATCTTTTTAAAGTCATTTTCTAGGTTTAAATGAAATAGTATTTGATCTTACAGCTGCAGTAGTCTAGTTCTATTCTTGAATGAGAAGAAAGTCGGCCATTAAATCTTTGAAAGATATCTTCTGAGCTTAAATGAAATAGTCTTTGATCTTACAGCCGCGGTTGTCTGGTTTTATTCTTGAATGAGAAAGAAGTCAGCCATTAGATCTTTGAAAGCTATCTTCTTAGCTTGAGTGAAATAGTCTCTCTGATCTTACAGCTGCGGTAGCCAGTTTTGATACTTAATTGGGAAGTCAGAATTTATTCACAATCACTAAATATATCTGAATGAGGTAAATTTAAATATAAATGCTAGTTCTCCGTCAGATCTAGTTATCAAAATTCGAGTTAGAAAAAGTGGTGCAACGACCACCGCCAAACATTCAAGATGTTGGTCAAAATGGTTGTCAGGAAACTACACAGAACAAGGATTTCTAGTAAGATATTAGGCAGATAAATAAAACGATGACTTCCAGATAAATCATCCAAGAACAGAATGACCATACATTGTTGTAAATTGATTATGCTCACGTACGCTTGAATTTGTTAAACGGAGGGGTGGGGTGGGGGGACGTAAGGAAGAACTGGCGAGCAAGTGAGACGAAATAATATTTTACTCAAAAATATTCAAAATGGAGTGGCAAGTGTTCCATCTTCCCCCTGGTTAGACACCTATAGTGCGGCGGTGATTGTTTATACACACATTACTTTCACACTGCAACGTAAACAAAATATTATATATACAAAAACATATACTTTTATGTGTGTATACATTAAAGGTTTGAACCAAGACCATTTATCAGACTTTTTTTATGATGAACAGGGAATAGATCAAACTTTGGAAAATTCTCCAGGCAGAAATGGCCTGAAATTAATGACCAAGTACCTCGTTTTTATAAAGCCATTGTGAGCATCGTTTTTAGCGTCGTATCTACTGCGTTCAGAACCTGCTGTTCACCAAAGCTTAATTTTTGCCGAATCTTTCCGGACGAGAGATCCGGAAACGTTTTTTTAACTATAGGCGGAAACACTGTAATTAATTTTTTATATCACATTTCGAAGTGATATTTGACTAACGCAATCGGCTTTATCATTCCTTCAAGCTCATCCCAAATATTAGACTCAATAACATTTAAATTGTTATCCTCCAAAACTCAAAATTCTCCCCTACCTGGCAAAAGGGATTCGGTACTTTTGTTTTCTGTTAATTAAGCACTGATACTAACTTATGATTCCATCCTTAATACACAACACCTATACTGCAACACCACCCACATTCACAAATTCAGACAGAATTAATTTTTTATACATGTATATATATATTTTTGAATAGATACTCGTCTCAATTTGTCGTCCATACATAACCACAACCACAGTAGTAAGTCCTATAGTCCCACCCTATTTAGATAGATATCTATGTTTAGGTCATCTATATGAGTCCCTAATGTTTGTCTATGGAGAACTGATTTAATTATACGGAATATGTTTGACGTTTCTTATTATTTTGATGAATGTTTTAGGTTCACTTTATTGCATAAATATATATATATATATATATAGGTAAATATATTTTTTAACATTACTTATGCAAATGGATGGGCAACGATTTTCTAATTTGGAACTATTTACAATACGGTGTTTTTAAATTTGATGTTTCGAGTTGAGGCCTGGCGGTTAGGGCGCTCGCCTCGCGAGTTCGAATCCTGTCTCCCAACATGCTCGCCCTTTCAGCCATGGGGGCGTTTTAATGTACTAGTCAATCGCATTTTTCATTGGTAATAGAGTAGCCCAAAAATTGGCCGTAGGTGGTGTTGACTAGCTACCTTCCCTCTGTCTCTCGGTGGGACAGGTGTAAGTTTACAGGCTTACAAAATTAAAATCCAGGGTTCGATTCCCTACGATGGACACAACAGATAGCCAAATGTGGCTTTGCGCTGAAACAAACACTTCCTCCCCTCTAGTCTATCATTTTAAATTAGGGACGGCTTGTGCAGATAACCCTCGAGTAGATTTGCAGGAAATTCCGATAACAAACTAAACCTATTTTCCTAAGTTAAGTTTAAATCACTTATTCGTAATAACAAATGACAATTAACAACAACAAAAACGGATTACACACTAAGAAAATGAATTTCTACTTAGAATAAGTTATCTAATGTTATCGTTTCTCGAAGTCAAGGTATAACATGAAATAATCTAAAGAGAAAAAATGAACTAAAGTTGTATAACATTTACCTTTTTCACAAAAGCTGCCTTCGTAGTCTAAATTCTTACAATCACAGATGGCGCCACTATCCGAACTAATGCAGACACCACCATGCCGGCATGGATCACGATGATTGCAATAATTCATCTCGTTGTTTCGTACACCAAGAAAGGCTATCATGTCTTGATTTCGAGCGGGGCCTTCGTCACTAGCGTAAAAAATGTTTCGTATGGCTCCCTTGAAACGAGGCTCGAAGAAAGCAGAAGGTAAAGCTAGTTGGGGAAGTTTCGACTTATACCAAACTGGCAAACCTCCTATATATACAAAACTATTTACTGACACGTTTCCAAAATCAAATTCCCTTCCAGGTGTTAGGCTACTTTCAACTTCGTCATCAACACGTAAAGACGTTTCTTCGATATTCCGTGTAATTACTACGCGGTGCCATTCACCATCATGTAAAGCCCGACCGACAGTTATCAATGTGGAGCCGCCTCCCAGATTGTAACGCAGCCGTAAGGTACCTTCAACGAGCTTGAGCTCAAAGAAATGATGCATTCTTCCATCATCGGTATAAAGAAGAAGCCCTTCGAGCTCATTCGTTTGAAATTCGAAAGAAAGAGATCCGTTTAAACTTAGGTACCACTTTTTGAACTGAGTGTAAGAAGTGGGTGAGCCTTCCAAGACAAAGCTCTCACACGTGCTTACCCATAAGAGGATTAACAAGGAAATCGAATTCCGGCTTGGAGAAATAATCATGTTTGTAGCATTAAGTAATCAAGTCAATTAAATGTTCATTTGCGAATGCACGCGACTTGGATCTCTTCGTTATGGATGTTCTAGTCCCCGTAACTTTCCTCTGTAAGTTCTTTATAACACTCTAGGGAAATATCTTGATAATATTTAGATAAACTGGATATAGCTGTATCAAAAACTTCGTGTTTTCCGTCGAAAATTCTAGAGTTAGAGGCGCAGTATCTGTTGGAATTGAAGAACAAAAATCAATTTTAGTTATTGTCGAAAAATAAACGTTACAAGATATTAGATAATAATAACAATAATAAACGTACATAACTTTTTTATCTATATTTTTAATATCTGACAATTTAATCTTAACTGATGAATACTGTGTATATTCTTCAGATTTTATGTAATTCTATTACAAAATTTCAAAAATGGCGATTAAAAAACTTGACAATATTTTTTTAAATTCTAGATATCTTTGTAGATGTTTCAATAGAACCTTGATCTGTCTTTGTCTTTACTGTGCGATATTAAGTGCACAATGTGCTTCTCGACGCATATGTATAATCAATACATGTGCATGTTTCTTAACAAAACTCCTGTTTGTTTGTTGTTAAGCGCAAAGCTACACAATGGTCTATCTGTGCTCTTCCCATGCGAATATCGAAACCTGAATTTTAGCGTCATAAGCCTATATATTTCCGCTGAGAAGCGGGGGGGGGGGCACATTTAGCGACATGAACCAGATTTGTGTAATTGATAAAAATATTGATAACATATTTTCAATACTCTAAACCGAAGATTTTTAAGTTCAAACTTTCCTTAAATTTATATATATCAACAGTTTACCTTACCTTAGGATGGAAATGTTTTAGCCACATCTAGGTTATTCGTGATGAATAAAATTCCAGAAAATCATTCAAAAGTAAAGGGAGTTCCAAAAATAGTTTCCACACACGTTTTTATCAAAATTATCTCAAATGGACAATTAAAATGTAGTAACCCTTAGTGTATTACGTTGATACCTACTTGTTTCAGGAAGTTTTGTCAAATAGCGACCATCATTATTTATTTATTTTTACTTAGTGTTGCAAAACTCATATTGAACGTTATTAGTAGTTTACACAGCTATGCACGTGAAAGTAATTCCAGTAGAAATATTAATGGCAAAGCATGTAACGTTGACAATACAATTTCCGTTTGTCTCGGTTTATTTTATTTTAGTAAAAGTAATGCAGTAGTCTGGTAGTTTTCTACCACCACCACCCCAATTACTGCTACTGAAAATTATAGATTCGAAGACTTCTCTCTCTATATATAAAATAATATTTTACCGCTAAAATTGATTTTATACAAATGTTTGACTTACATTTTATGTTGGTGTGAATAAACTTTTATTAGAAAATCAATATTTCCAAATTCAAATTTCCCCGTTGTTCACGAAATGTTTTTTTTTTTTTAAATTTAATTCAAGCAATGAAATGTCAAACAGTTAAACACATTTTCATGAAGATTAATTTCATAGTTTAAGTAAACCTAATGATCAGAAACAGACCTGGTAGCAACTGTTGAGAACACTGTGAAACTGCTCAAAGTAAAACTGGTTTAGTTCTGACTGGTTACTTCACTAATATCCAAATGTTATTTATTTTTTCTTTGACAAAATTGAAATTGTTTTCTTATTTAATATTTCTATAAAATATCATCACAAATCACGTAACGGTTTCGGTTACTGTTTCTCGTTTGTTTTGTATACATCAAACACACAAGCGTCATGAAAAATATGCAAATATTACCTATACATCTAACATACATACGTGATTTAAAATATTGTAACGCCTTCAGTTATAATACACTGTACAAGCAAACGTAATTCCAAACCACGTAGCACCCTTAGTTGTTGTTGATACTGTACACAATACAAACAAACGAGATCACAAATCATATAAGGCCTTCAGTTGTTGTCTGTACATCTATAAACAAACGATGAATTTAGGCATAGAAAAATCATGACTGATGAAACGGAATTAGACTAAGTGCAAAGAAAATACATATTGTTAGCCGATCAACGAATTAACGTTTTTTTCAACATAAACTTCCATTAATTTTGAAATCCGCTAATCCTATTTCATTTGGTAGATCAAACTATAACAAATATGACATTAAAAATACATACTTTAAAGCTTTTTAGACGTTACGGCCATAGCTAAGCCAGCTATCAAATAGAAAGGTAAATAAATGTAAATTATAATACATGTTGCAATATACAGAATATCTGAGTTTTGTTCATTGTAGAGGAGTAAGCTATGTTATTCAACAGACTGTACAATGTATGTCGTTTAAACATGGTGAGTTGTATGATTAAACATGATTTTATATTAAGAGGATTCAAAACTATACTAGTGGCATATTTGTGGTCTACGTTATAACACAGAGATGGTAATGTTCGTGCTAATACTAGTTTCCTTACTTTGCAGTGGCTTTTGTTTTTTCAGCGATTTAGTGTCATACGTCATCTAGTTTTAAAAATTTTGTCGTAATTTAGACACAACAAATTAACAAAACACTTTAAAACAAAGTTAATATTACTAATGTACGGTTACATACATTTTGTAAAAGTTTAATTCTTTATGAATGTTATTTAACGTACATATTCATTTTATTATTTTCATTTTGATTATATATCTGTGTGTGTGTGTGTTTGTGTGTACTAATTAGCTTAGTAGACGGACTTACGAGTAACCTAAAGCTTCTAAGACGGCCGAAACTTATGGGGATATTATTGGGATTATGGCCGAAAGTATCGCTAACAGAGCACCCAACTGATGCATCAATGTATTATAATCATTATAAGTAATAGCGCTATACTAAATTATATTCATTAATTACTGCATTAATTTTTGGGTTCTGGTCTACATAGGTAACTTACTTTGATCAGAAGTTAACATTTAAAGTGTAATTTGTAAGATTGTTTTAGCCAAACGCGTAGTTTTTAACAGATTTCAAAGCTTTACCTTTCATGTGTGTTGTGTTAGATTGCTATGGTCACGATACAAAGCAACATTACTTTACGGCCATACTATAAACGACAACACACTTACAGACTTATGATATACTTGTTGTGCTTTTGTTTTGTCTGTAATGTAATTTTCATGTTGATTAATATAACACTGCCATTTTTTAGAAACAATTATTTAAATCATATTTTAAATTCATAAACCATGAAACTTGTGCCACCTGAAATATGTATTTTTATTTGTTTTCTTGGTTCAACTGTTTCATATATCATTGTATGCGCGTGTCACTTTAACTATCCTTTTAACGTGACATTTCGTTTATCGCGTGATGCTCCACTTGCAAGAATGACATTTTGCTTCTCTTTTATATGCAAATAAATCAAGATGTATGGAATTTAGTAAGTAAAAAATCGAACAGGCGCTCATTCGAGATAGAAAGGAAGGAAAATCCTTGATAAAAACATTGAAACTCGTAAAATACTGGTGTAACACATGATAAATCATGCAAGTTAACTTGTTAATTTGCACATAAATTAAGTCTGTGGCCCGATTACTCTGTTATTTTTATAAATTAAATATTAATTATTATTATAATTATTACATGAATTACATTTTTCATTAACGCTTATAAATTAAAAGAGAAAGTCTCGCCTTACATCAGTTTGTATACTAGCAACTTCGTCAATGTTTTTAAACACAGTGTTAACAAATTGCAAGCACATTATCTTCTAGAAGAACGTTAAACTAACTTTATGAACATTTCGAAATGATAAACAAGCTAAATTCGCTTCCTTTGAGAAAACTAAATAACGCTGATGCTCAATATATTGTTGCCCGATGAAAGCTCCGGAAAGACGACCGAAAGCTCGCAAATAAAAGTATTTTAACGTAGAGAAAAGTCCATGTATAATTCTACATGTCTAACACCATGTTAAATCAACACTTAGTACTGTTCAGGGCCGTACCGATCTTTGATGACGCCCTGTGCGAGATATAAATTCTGCGCCCCTCCTTGAAAAAAATTAATCTACCATTGGTACGGCCCTGGTACCGTTTATTATGTGTAACAAGGCCCAACAATATGTGTTGTGTTAAACTGTACCTCGTGCAGTTTACGTCAAACGTTTAAGCTACAGCTTATTCTGCACATTTTCTTTAAGCCACATGACCGAAATGTATCTTTTCTTATACAAATATATGATTTTATTTGACTTTATTAGCTATACATTCTAAGAATGGGTATTACATGAAATCCCGAGTATTGCGGCGATAGTCGCTGACCCATCAAGTGGAGGTCCGCAGGAAGTTGAAGAGAATCCCTTTACTGACGTTACAAATGGCCTCCCTGGCTATATACCATCCTATCTCTGAGGATATATTCTGTACTAAAACAGATATTCCATATTCTATTTATATATAAGATCTAACAAATGACAACATCCGTTATTATTATTATTATACGATCTAAGAATGAATGTTAAAGCAATACTCATCTTACTTTATTTAAACTATATGATTTAAGAATGGGTGTTATATTATAATAACATTCAATATTATTTAAACTATGTCATCGAAGAGTTGTGTTGTAAAAACTTAACGTTGTTCTAATTAAGAACAAAAAAAAAAGACCTAAGAAAGCAGGTTGTGCTAATGAAGACTGTATAACTTAACAACTTAATATTTGCTAACCAAAGACTGGGTGAAAAATATATTGCAAACAAAAACGTTATTAAATTCACAGGTCTTATTAATGTTTGAATACCGAGAAATCCGTAAAAATGTTAATGTTAACTACGGTCATACGAAAGAGCTCCCTTAGTCAGGATCAATAGTAAAGTCAAACATTGTGGAATCAATATTATAGCAAACATTCAAGTGTGATGTTTGCTCTTTACCCACACATCATGCATTTACAAAAGCACTACAGACGAATCTCATTCTAAGCAGGTTAAACTATTTGGTTCTAACTCTTGTAATGTTTGCATTGTACGTAGGAGACATGAAGGGAAATTAGCTCAGCAGTTTCTGGGGGTTTATTGTAAGCTTAAGTGAATAGTTACTTCTTAAATGGAAAAAGTTCCAAGAAGTAAGTTCCCAAGTTTTAAATCTGTATTGATATTTTGTAGTTGAGGCATATAAATGGGGTCAAGTATAAAATTAGATTAAAGTACGGCATTAGCTTGTGGGACGGCTCCTCCCACGCCGCCAACGCCCCTT